AAATGAAACTCAGTATTATTACAAAGCATAACCATAAATATCTGAAATTTGAATGTTAATGGACTGACAACTTAAATTTCCCTAATACTTAGTGTATTATCTATTAAAAAACATAGTCATTATAGCTTTTGCATATTTTAAAAACAGAGTAGAATAATATATCCACTAGGAATAATTTAGCTGCATTTAAGAAATAAACTCCAAAATAACAGTGTCTCAAACAGAGGGAGATTAATTTTTCTTTGTCAAAGAAGTCTAAGGCAGGCAGTCTAGGTTTGGTATAGTGGGCCTGTGGTATCCTCAGAGCCCCCTAGGTGGCTTCTGTTCTTAGTTACTTCATGGCCAAAGATGGCTGCCAGAGTTCCATACATCACATCCTGCTGTACCCAGCAAGAAAAAGTAAGGATAGACACACCTGTTCCCTTTCAAGGAGACTTCCCAGAAATCCTACACAAACACATTTATTTATATTTCACTCACCTGAACTTAGTCACATGACTGACCATCTTAGCTGCAAGGGAGGTGGGCAGGTAGTCCTTCATCTGAGCAACAGAGTGTCCATCTAAAATTTGAGGTTCTGATACTAAGGAGGAAGAGGAGAATGGACATTGTCTAGCACTTTCTTCCACAAATGACCTCCAAAGCAAATTAATCAGTTTTTAAGAATAAGCACAAAATACTGCTTTCCAGTATAATACCAATAAATTTTGTTGCTAAAGGCAAAGAAGAGACCAAAATGGAAGAAGAATCACTTAAAGTGGTACTTTTTATGACAGAATGAGTATTTATCTCACAAATCACAAGAATCTTATAAAATCATTCACCAAGTTCATGATAAATGTCAAGTATGAGGGTTATTGGTAAATCTGTGTATGAAATGGCTCTGTTGTATATTGCTCAATATCAACGAATTATAATGTGAAGGGGCAATTACTATCACGAGTGCCTAATAATAGTAAATATTTTGTGGTTCTAAAAAAATCACCAATTTCAGAGTTTTAAATAGCTCCTGACATTGGTCACATTATATATGAGGGAAAATTGCTTGATAATTTTTTGTTTTATTTATTCCTGAAAACACATGATATGGGAGGTTTTAGTTCATTCAGTTAATCGTAACTTTATAAGTCACGATGCAGATGGGAAGATGTACATTGAGATTAGTTCTGAAGGAGGACCAGCTCTGTTCACAGCAAGTAAAAGAGATTCGATGGGAATGTGAAATCACTCTCTGTTTCATTCACATGGAATAGTTGGCATTGATGTGGGCCACAGTTGTAAATACAAATAGTGGCTACCTAGTGCATTATGTTCAATGTATTATGCAAAAAATTGGGCAGCAATTTTGAAATCTACTGATGGCAGGTGGAACACAGTCTGGGGCAAGGGGAGGTGGTGGTACAATTGTTAACCTTTTTTTTTAAGATTTGTTTTTCTTTTAGAGAGAGAGGGAGAGGGTGAGAGAGAGAGAAACAGAGTGTGAGCGAGGGGGTGGTGGGCGGGGAGGGACATAGGGAGAGAGAGAGAATCTCAAGCAGACTCCCTGCTGAGCATGGAGCCTGACATGGGGCTTGAACCCACAACCTTGAGATCATGACCTGAGCGAAATCAAGAGCCGGACGCTCAACCGACTGGGCCACCCAGGTGCCCCAATTGTTAAAACTTTAATAGTCGTGATTTGGGATGGTATATAGCAACCACCTTGACTTTGGCCTTGTGAGACCATAAGCAGAGAATCCAGTTAAGTCTGCCTGGTCCTCTGACCTATAGAACTGTGAGGTCATATATGGGTATTGTTTCAAGCGGTTAAACGTGTGGTAGTTTTTGCAAAGACAGAAAATTAATACAAATTAATATGTGTTCCAGAGGGTGGGAGTTAAACTCTAAAAAGACTCCGGGGCCCACAGCATTAGTGCAATTTTTTAGGCGAATGGTCTGAAGTAAACTAGAACATTCTCTCCTGCTAGGGGCAGATTATTGCGTCCTGCACTTCCCTCCACCAGGATAGAACAGAGTACCCAATTGGAGTTTTTGATTTCCGGGAGCAGCATACTGGGAATATTGACTCAACCCATTTACAGGATGACCCATAAGATTGCCATCATTGTGTGGGTCTCAGAACAGAAAAGGGATCTGCAAGTAGGTCCAGGCTGGTGGGCTTTTCCATACTGGATTTGACACCTATTCCAAATATGCGTTTGCCTTTTCTGCCTGTAGTGCCTCAGCCAACACCACTAACCAAGGGCTTAGAAAGAGTCTGATCCATAAACGTGGGATCCCACATAAAATTGTATTGGATCAAGAGACCCATTGTCATTATATAGCAAAAGAGGTGAGCAGTAGACACATGACCATGGTATCTATGGTCCCATCACATGTGCCACCATCCACAGGCTGCTGGACTGACAGAACACTGGAATGGTCTGTCAAAGGTCTAGCAGATGTACCATCTTGGAGAGATTGCACTGTGCAGATGAAACGCTATCCTTTAAGATGTAGTATACACCTCAAATCATTAAATACCATATGGTGCCGTGTTTTCAAGATGTAGGAGGCACGGATCCAGGAAGCAAGAGGTGAAAGTAGCAGTGACTGTGCTTACCATCAGCCCCAAGGGCCCTTTTAGGGAGCTTGCGCTTCCCTTCTTCACAACAGTGAATCCTGACACTTCATAGTCTTGGTTCTTAGAGGGGTCATGGGTCCACTAAGGAACCCAGCAAGATTCTATTAAGGTAATAATAGGATTAGGCTCTTACTTGGTTACTTCAAAGATCTTGTTTCAAGAGACCAGCAGGCAAGGAAAGTCGTCACCATACTGGCAGGAATAATTGCCCCTGACCATCCAGCAGGTAGACCTGCTGTTCCACACTAGGATCAGGGAAGTCTATATTTGGCACTCAGGGGGTCCACTTGGGCTGCTCTTGGTAACTGCCTGATTCTGATGATAAATGTGGCAGCAACCACAGCCCGGGCAGGTCATGGTGACCAGTGACCCATTGCCTCTCTTATTCAGAAAATGAGCGTCTGTGTCATCTCAGTGGCCCAGCCACCTAGACCAGCAGAGGTACTAGTTGAGGGCAAAGAGACTTTAGAATAGATGGTGGAGGACAGGCAAGATGAGTTTGTTACTTCCTCAAGAATCAGGTACAATGGCAGGGATGGCTAGTTTTTCCCACTAAGCTTCCTCCTGTAAGATTCTCCCAGGGAAAGAATCCAGAATACTGGAGGAGCTTCTCTCAGAATTTACTATATGAAGCTAGTGGATCTAAGTGGAGCAAGGAGTTGTCTACAAAGGATGCTGTTGCGTGCCACCCAGATCACCCTCCAGGTCAGTTCATTCATTACTCCAGCTGGTAGGAATATTGGTGGCAGATGGCTCTCAGCTGAGTTCCTTTTCTGGAACTTTCTGTAGGCTGGAGAGAGCTGCCTTGCCTAAAGTTATACAGAGGGGAACCTGCAATTAACACCCCAGTTTGAGACAACTCTGTGGGATCATTTCAGCCCCAGAGCTCCCTTTAGGATTGACCGAGACCTTTGCTGCAATGATATTAGAGTCCCAGTTCACCCTCTCTGCCCACTCCTGCTTCCTGCTTTCCCTCTCAGGTGTTGGTCTCTATGTAAATCACTCCTAAGGAATCTCTTGCACATGAATCTCTATCTTGGAGCATGATTTTTGGGTTTATGACCTGTGACAGAAGGTTTGCCCCAAATTATATCCCACTAGAAATATATGATATAATAGTTTCATCCCAGAATTTCTGCTATTGGATACCTTGGGTTTTTAAAGTTGGGGATTCAGTTTTTGTGTTCTAAATTTATAATGCAAAATGGTGCACTAGTTTTATTTGGAATTTCAAAAACTACTAGCAAGGTTAAAAATAATCTTAAAATGTTTGAGACACAAATATTGTAGGACCCGGTCTTTACATGTCATCCAGACCAATGGCCATTTCTTTTTGCCTTTCCTCCTTTATTTACATGTCACACAGCAGAAGATTTTGAAGTATGCTGGTCTTGTTTACCATCAAATAAGACACTAGGCCGCCCTTCAATCTCCCAAATTCCTAGAAGGGCCAATTAATAAAAATGGGTTGGAAACAGGCTAAATATAAATAGGTATTTTATTAGAGGACCGTAAACATACTTCATGACTTCTGTTTGTTTAAGCTTTTCCAGCTTGTGACTTCAAATTTTCCAAGGCTGGGCTATTTTCTCTGGATGCAGGGAAACATATTTCAGGACAAAATGTGCAGACAGAGCACTCAGCATCCATGGCCGTGTACTGGGATCCACTTCAGACTGACAAAAACTTCAGCTTTTATCTGACTTCATTAGGAAAGATTAAACACATTGAAGGATATTTGGAAACCTTTTCAGAAGCCAGAAATACTTTAATAACACTCCAAACTGCTACTGACATTTAAAAGCTTGATTATGCAAAGAACTTTGTCTCTGGGACATGGAATTACCTACTGCCAAAAATAACTCATCTTTTTCCAGCTCAGAGAGAGGCAATGTTAGTAGGATTAGTTAACAGACCAGAATTCCCATTTTGAGCAAAGACAGCCCATGTACTTAATGGAATATTTGGAAACAGACACCACCTGACTTGGGATGGCTTAACTTGAGAAGTACAATCTTTATAGGCTTATCATAAGTAACACTTTAACCATATCGAACAGGCTTTGTGTTTATGAGTACCTAACAGCTGAAGCTGATGTGCTTTTAGAATAGACTTCAGTCAATGCAAATAATTAGTGTTGACAATGTGGTGTGCTGATTTGAAAGGTGAAAAAAAGCATTGGATGATGTGAATTCCTGATTGGCTAAAGAGCATGCTTCTCAACTAAGCTATAAATTCTTAGCTTATTAATAGGTATTGGTTGTCACTTTTTAAAACTCTATGGACACAACTCGGGAAACCATCGAGAAAAGATAATAAATGCTGTAAGGAATGGTTTAATTATTCAGGAAGATGATAACTGGCTGGTAAATTTCAGATTTCAGGGGAAGCTGAAGGGACTGATCCAAAGACATGGAAGGCTTCTCTGGAGAAGTTGGCTGATGTCTTTGAAGATGAAGGCTGCTGTTAAGATCTGTGTTTCATGTTTTTGAAAAGGGAACAGGAGATTAGAAGGTAAGAGAAGTTACCTTTGAAATTCCTCCCTGAGAATTGACCATTTATGCTCAATAACTCATCAGTGGAAAATTTTGCCTGAGGTGAACCAAATAGTGAACATTTGCAGGGTCCCTAGAGCAATGACAACTGTTGATTCTGATTATAAAGAAACCTACCAGGAAAGGAGGACCCTTCATGCACATTTTGCTTGACTCAAATTTTCAGGAACCAAAGAGTTAGCTTATGCCCACACCCAGATATTTTCTGGGTTTTTTTACCCAGATATTTTCAAATATAGATTTATACTATGTATTTGGTTTTATATTTTATTTTA